ACATAATTTAAAAAACTGTGCCGAAACATTGGCAACTGTAAGCCAATACGGTTATGGTTATACATTACATAATATAAATAATTTTAAAAATAATATAAAGTATTAAAGAATAATTTTTAGTTCAAAATTTACATAAAATAATTTATTATAAAAAATTTAAAGTATAAATATTTAATAAAATTTATATATTAATTATTTCGATTGAATTTTAGCACTTAGCATTTTAGCATTAATTAAAACAATAAAACTAAAATCGTATAATTAATATTGTTTTAAAAAAAATTTAATTAGTTATTAAATTTATAAATTAAAGCAGATTTGTAGTATATTAAAATATTTACTTTTACTATATTAACATTTTAATTTAATTTACAAATTATAAAAAAGCGGTAAACAAATTATATTATATTCACGAACTCATAAAAAGGAATCGTATCTGAATTCTATATGTCCTTATGTCTGCATTTTATTGAATGTTTTGGATTATTTGGATTAAATATAAGCACAAAATCATTTACAAACAAAATTACTACATTTTATTATACAGACAGACAGACAGACAGACAGACAGACAGACAGACAGACAGACAGACAGACAGACAGACAGACAGACAGACAGACAGACAGACAGACAGACAGACAGACAGACAGACAGACAGACAGACAGACAGACAGACAGACAGACAGACAGACAGACAGACAGACAGACAGACAGACAGACAGACAGACAGACAGACAGACAGACAGACAGACAGACAGACAGACAGACAGACAGACAGACAGACAGACAGACAGACAGACAGACAGACAGACAGACAGACAGACAGACAGACAGACAGACAGACAGACAGACAGACAGACAGACAGACAGACAGACAGACAGACAGACAGACAGACAGACAGACAGACAGACAGACAGACAGACAGACAGACAGACAGACAGACAGACAGACAGACAGACAGACAGACAGACAGACAGACAGACAGACAGACAGACAGACAGACAGACAGACAGACAGACAGACAGACAGACAGACAGACAGACAGACAGACAGACAGACAGACAGACAGACAGACAGACAGACAGACAGACAGACAGACAGACAGACAGACAGACAGACAGACAGACAGACAGACAGACAGACAGACAGACAGACAGACAGACAGACAGACAGACAGACAGACAGACAGACAGACAGACAGACAGACAGACAGACAGACAGACAGACAGACAGACAGACAGACAGACAGACAGACAGACAGACAGACAGACAGACAGACAGACAGACAGACAGACAACAGACAGACAGACAGACAGACAGACAGACAGACAGACAGACAGACAGACAGACAGACAGACAGACAGACAGACAGACAGACAGACAGACAGACAGACAGACAGACAGACAGACAGACAGACAGACAGACAGACAGACAGACAGACAGACAGACAGACAGACAGACAGACAGACAGACAGACAGACAGACAGACAGACAGACAGACAGACAGACAGACAGACAGACAGACAGACAGACAGACAGACAGACAGACAGACAGACAGACAGACAGACAGACAGACAGACAGACAGACAGACAGACAGACAGACAGACAGACAGACAGACAGACAGACAGACAGACAGACAGACAGACAGACAGACAGACAGACAGACAGACAGACAGTTGACAAACATAAGACAGACAGACAGACAGACAGACAGACAGACAGACAGAGTTGTCGCTGACAGTTTCCGGAGTTGTCGCTGGTTTTGTTGTCGGCTCTAAAACTAAAGTCAATAATTAATTCATATTTATTTTGTAATTATTTATCTTAATAATCTTATATGCTTTATAATAATTATATTTAAATAATGAATTAATATTGAACAAATTAAATTGTAATTTCTATATATTTATGTGATTATTAAAAGTTCTAAAATTATGATTTCTGAAATCATATAAATTAATATTGGTTTATTAAAATTATTAAATTTATACTATAATTATAAATTGTATAATAATATAAATTTACATACCAGTTATATTAATACAATTTTATTTATTATCATATAATTTAAACAATTAAACTAAAATAGTATAATTAATATTGTTTTTAAAAAATTTAATTAGTTATTAAATTTATAAATAAAAACAGATTTGTAGTATATTAAAATATTTACTTTTACTATATTAACATTTTAATTTAATTTACAAATTATAAAAAAAATCGGTAAACAAATTATATTATATTCACGAACTCCTAAAAGGAATCGTATATGAATTCTATATGTCCTTATGTCTGCATTTTATTGAATGTTTTGGATTATTTGGAAGATTTGGATTAAATATAAGCACAAAATCATTTACAAACAAAATTACTACATTTTATTATACGATTGCTTTCACACTATATATTTACTGTATTATAAATAATTTAAAGTATAAATATTTAATAAAATTTATATAATAATTATTTCGATTGAATTTTAGTGAGAGAACCCAATTTAAATCCACTCAAAGCACCGGTAGCTAAGTATCCGTCACGAGTGGCAACCAATGACTCTCCCTTTCCTTCACCGCCCGCAACAAACAGTATACCTTCCGATCCATTTTTATCAGCTATTGATTTCACGTCTATTAAAAAAGTTTAATTCATTATTAAAATTTATAAAAATAACAAATTACGTATATTTTGCATACATTTATCATATAATGTTTCACTCATTTGTTTAATTGATGACTCTTTGTCCTCATTATTATCGGCACTGTTATGTTCAGCCTTATAGCCAATCAAAGCTCCGGCTTCTAAACCATACAAACTACTAATATTCACATTTTTGTTGTCGTAATATACTTGTATTGAGAGTACACCTCCTGCTCCGACACCCTCTCCATAATAACCCTTTTGTGACTTTTTATGTGATTTGTTGTCTAAATCATGGATAAAATCTCTGACTTGTAATGAGTTTTGTCCACTTTTTCCACCAAAATGAGCGCCAATACTATGAAATAAATTATATTATTTAAAATGAATTTAATTATTAATATTAATTAAAATCATACTTTGATATAACATTATCAGCGGTTTCTTCCAAATTATTTTTATGTGAAACAGTGGTTAGGATTCCCAAAGCAAAACCAGAAATAGATTTGACGTCTAATTCATTGTTTTGATTAATCCATACATTTTCCTGTCCTCTCAGCCCTTCAACCAAAACAAATGCTTTATCTGATTTGGATTTCTTATCGACAATTGGCTGAACAACTAATGTTAAAAAAATTATTATTATTATAATAACTTAATTAAATTATATAATTAACAAATAATGCATACATTTATCATAAAATGGTTTTTGAATTGAAGTCATTTCTTGTTTTCTCAATTCGTCTTCAGTTGTATTCAAAGCATTTGAGTGATGTTTACCCGAAATACCGGCCAAAACCCCGGCACCCAAACCATACTGAGTCGATACAGTAAAACTTTGTCGACCTCTGGCCACTGTTACAGACGTACCGCCAATACTACCGATACCTTCAGCGACAAGAATACCGTGTTTTTTGTTGATTTCATCATTGTTTGGTGTCTCTAATGTCTTGGATTTATCGAGAAATGCATTCAATTGGTTTTGTCCACCAAATGAGGCATGAATTCTGTAAAATAATAAATAAAATTATTAAATAATTATTAAATAATTATTAAAAAATTATATGAATTTATATTACTTTGAAATAACACTTTTTGCGGTCTCTTCTAAATCATTGCCTGAAGTCAGTGCTAATGCAGAGACCAGTAATAGACATACAATTGATTTCATTTTACTGTTTTTAATAAAAAAATATTTAATATTAATGTTTTATTTGTCTTCGAAAATCTTTAATAAGATTTATTTATAATGAATTTAAATCCATATTTCAAATCTTTATATACATATTATTTATCTACAATATATGTAGTATTGATCTAAGTATTGCAACATTTAATTGAAAAATTGATAAAATTAAAGTAAAATATGCTGTTTATTAAAAAATGATAAATACTTATACAATATATTATAGATAACTAAACTTATGTGTTTCTATTGTGATAAATTTTTAGTACGTAATACCAATGATAGGTAAACAAAAAACATTGTTAACTATTAATGTTTTAGTAATAAGTAGAGTTACCAAATACACAAATTTTTAATTGTTTTTACTAAATAAATATATTATTATAGTTTTGTAAAATTATAAAAAGAAAACAAATATTTTGATACAATTTATTTTAAAGTTTATAAAATATAAATTCTATTTATAATATTTAAATTTATATATTAGTATATAATGTTAAACATATTAATCAAATATTTTTTGAAAACTTTTATATTATTGGAGTTGTTTTTCAAACAATTAATTTAAAATAAAAACTTATGTCTTTCATTAAAATAATATTGTAAATAAATTTCCAAATTTAGTTATTTCTCAGTGTTTTTAATTAATTAGATTTTAAATTAGATATTAAATATTATGTTATAAAAAATAAATTGTAAACTATATATTTAAAAAAAATTATAAAATAGCACTTTAAATTAGTCACTCTAATTATGAATCATTTGTTTTTAACATAAGTTTATAAATTATCTTATATTATTTTATAGATTAATAATTTATAAAAGTTTTAAAAGACCTAGATGTACGTAAAAGTAGAAAATACAAATTTAAATTACATAATTATTTTGAAATATGATTTATATATATATTAAAATATTAACAATAAGTAGATAAATTTATATTATATTATTATAAATTATAGTACTTTACTTTAGTTACGTTTATTACTTTATCATATGTTGTAGTTTTATTTAAATAATTACTTATTACAAAATAAAATAATGTATAGAAATAATGTGCTTGATAACAATTTTCTATATCAACATATTCACAATAATAATGAAATTTGATTTTGAAAAAGTTTCTTGATTATAACTATTGTTATATAATTATAAATAGTATATAAAGAAACTCAACTAAACATATTGTCATTACAATTAAAATATATCTTTCATAATATTTAATTTGATTTAATAGTAAACAATGTCTACAATTTTCAATATATTTATTTTATTGTCAGTAATGACAGCAGTTTTCGGCACAACTGATCCACAGTTGGAAGCGTTGGCACAGAATTTCCTTCAATTGTAAGTTATAGTTATTATATATAAAAATTATTAAATTAATAATTAAGTTAAATATTATTTAAAGACTAAATCCAAGTCTAGCGGACAGCAAATCACATGAATTTCTTCTTCAATTAACTAATGGTTAGTGTATTAAATCATTTGTAAAGTAATTTTAATAATAATTAATACCATTTCTAACAACAGGTCATCATTTGTCCGCCAATTCTTCCGATTCATTGAAAGTAATTCTTTCATTTGAAGGCACTCTCAAACTGAATGCCGAAAGAAATGGTCAAAAACTGGAGGTTTTGTCACAACATTTAGGCGGAGCTGCCGTTTATGGCGGACATAGATATACGTCATTGAATGGACCGCTCGATAGTGACAACAAACCTGTCGATCCGTTTCTTAAAAATATTTACGATAAAAGTAATATTTATAATTTAATCCAATTTAGTTGATATAATAATTAATATTTTTAAACACATTTTAAACAGATCTTAAAACACATAAACATTTAAGAGATGACGAAACAGGTGTATTGATAGCTCACGGTTCAGCTACCGGTGCTCAAGTAGTGGTTGACAAACATAAACTCGAGTCCGGAGTTGTCGCTGGTTTTGTTGTCGGCTCTAAAACTAAAGTCAATAATTAATAATATTATATTGTATTGTATTGTATAGAATTTAAACTATTTATTTTAATAAGTTTATATGTTTTATATTAATTATATATAATGAATGATATTAAATAATGAGTTAATTTGTATACATTTAAATTATTACTTCAATTACTGCAAATTATTAAAAATGTTGTTGTTGTTATTAAAATTGTTAAAATTAAAATTTTTGCAGCCATATAAATTACTATTTATTTCTTATTTATTTTAAACAATTTTTATATAATATATTTAATACAATTAAAATTTAATTAATTATTAATTTACTAAATTAAGCCAACTATATAAAAACATATACTTTAGTAATAAAATTTGTCTAATTATTATAATTTATAATACATATGTTAAGATTACAAGTTTTAAAGTTTAATATATATTTATTGTTACAATTAAAAAAAACATTAACTAAATAAGTCATAAATATTTAAGTAATGAATTATTAAAAACAAAATTATCAAATAGAGTTTACATAGATTTTTAATTAATTTTTTAAATTTTTTTTCATATAAATTTTAATTTTACTAATTGACTCTTTATTTTAATTTACTATTAATAAGGAGAGGTAAACAAATGTAATATATTTTGTTTGTCTATGAATTTAATTTCTAGTATTAAAACTCTTTATCGAAAACGATAGACTGTTTTTTTACTCCCCGTCGGGTATATCGCGATCAAAGCACCGGCCAAACAGACCAACAGATATTATAGGATGTGGGAAATCAGTGACCGATAGGCTAACTTCGGTACCTATTTTACGTTCACTTTTATAACTCCAATACTGTTTCGGAACTAATGATAATTCGTTGGCCGTAACGCTCGGGTAGGTATAGTTAGTCGTGAATTGTGCGCTCAGTTTAATTGATTTAAATATTGTTTCAGCTTTAGTTGAATACGTATTACAAGTATTATCGTTACATTTTGCAATACCACACATTTCATTGGACTGATTATAATCAGACTGTTTATTTGCCGACACATTTGCAACTATAAGCCAATACGATTCGTTACCAAATGATGAGCTGACCATTGAATATGATAATTGACAGCACAAACCATTGTTACATACATTCAATGAGTCGTTTTGGGCCTTCAATTGAGCCAATGAGACATCTTTAGTTGACATATGAAATACTGTATTATAATCTCCGCTAACTTTGATTTCATCAAATATTATTGTTTTGTTAAACGGTTTGGTTGTCAAACACGAAGCTCTACTGTTGTCACTCTTAACCGGTATGTCAGCAATGAGTAACTTTCCGTTTTTATTATTTTGATCGGTAAATATTATGGGACCGTTTTCACCCGAATATATACCACTTCCTATACTACCTGCACAATAGTTATATAATTTAATTTTGTAATTATTAAATATTAACTAATGTTATACATCTAAAAAATTATATAAATGCAAAATACCTTGATAAGGAACAAGTATATTGGCTGCTAAAAAGTTAACCCGATTGTTGACAGCCCATCCTTCATGTATTTGTTTGGCTGTACGAAATGGTAGTTCATCGCCCCACCATGTGGGATATGCCATTGTATTAATACCATATTTGGACACAAGTCCAGTTCCGGGATCACCCCATACTTGATCAAAACATATCATTATACCTATTCTACCAAATGGTGTATCAAAATAACTAAATTCTGTGGACGGATAGTCGTACATCATTTCTATGAGTCTGAATAGATGTCTTTTATGATACTTTGCTACCATTACTCCGTTGGGATCAAAGGCTACGGCAGTATTGTACAGATAATAACCATCTTTAGGACAGTATTTATCTGTAGTCACATTACAGTCCATCCGATCGCCATAATCGGCCACAATATACATTGCATTGTCTTTAGCCAAACAGCTCAGGGCTACAGTTATAGGTAGCGATTTGTCTCGTTTTTCGCACGCATTATAAACACCTTTTCTGGGATCCGGTATTTTTTCAGTAACAGTCGATAAAATTGAGCGATTAAAGGGTGGATCTATTAGACCGTCTTCGGGAAAAACCAATATGTTTACCCCCTATATAATTAAATTATAACTTTTAATTAAATTTTAAATTAATTTATTAATCATACATATTGTTTAGCTTTTTCGGCCACTTTTTTTAACATTAATAGATTTTTATTGATGATTTCGTATGGTTTATCTACCGTTACATTACCCAGAACTGGTCCCTCATAGACGGCTGCTCTGAAACAATTGGCATCAATTTTTGGCTCACATTTTACTAGATATTTATTATTTATTATTATTAAGAAAATTATAAGAAAATTAATTTTAAACATCATTAGTTTTTTAAATAATAAATTAATATTTAATAAAAATTTCAACCAAATTTATATTTTAAAATTTTCTAATACATTAAATAAATTTAAAAACAAAAGTTAACTCTAATGACTAATAAAATTAAATGTATATAAAACTATAGCTAATTAATTAATTAAAATCAATAAACTGTATAAAAGTATAATAAATTATTGTAAAACAAAACTTATCGTATAGTATAGTACTTATGTTTAAAAAGTGATTGGAAATATCACCTAATACTTTGAGATTAGTATTTTGATAAAATTTCAATATAACTGTTAGTTTATTTGTTATATTTATATGAAATTTTTTAATTGAATCATTAAAACTTTTTTATTAGGGTTGCCAAATGTACTAATGAAATTGCAACAACTTTTATTTTGTGAATAATAAAACAATACTAATAAGATATTAAATAACTATTAAAAAATTAATAATAATAATTGTAATTTAAAATATATTATAAGCTCTTAGCAGTCTGTGAGATGTTTGCATAAGACATGAATCTATTAATATGTAAATGACTTTAACTAAAATAATATATCAATAAATTTTATTTATTCATAAAAATTTGTCGAATTACTATAATTTTTAGTATAATATATAAATTTTTGAAATTTTTGTATTTTCAATAATACATTAAAATAATTTATTTTAGATTTTTATTGTACATTACATATGTTAAATAAATTGTATCATATATTGCATTGTATATGTTTTTAAAGCTTTTTTGGGGTATAATAATAACAAATAAATAGTATATACAGTATTAAATAAATGTTATTTAACAATTTAAATAAATATTTAATAAAATTTATATATTAATTATTTCGATTGGACTTTAGTGAGAGAACCCAATTTGAATGCAGCCAAAGCACCGGCAGCTAAATAACCGTCACGAGTGGCAACCAATGACTCACCCTTTCCTTCACCGCCCGCAACAAACAGTATACCTTCCGATCCTTTTTTATCAGCTATTGATTTCACGTCTATTAAAAAAATAATTCATTATTAAAATTTATAAAAATAATAAATTAATAATATTTTTCATACATTTATCATATAATGTTTCACTCATTTGTTTAATTGTTGACTCTTTATCCTCATTATTATCGGCACTGTTATGTTCAGTCTTATAGCCAATCAAAGCTCCGACTTCTAAACCATACAAACTACTAATATTCACATTTTTGTTGTCGTAATATACTTGTATTGAGAGTACACCTCCTGCTCCGACACCCTCTCCATAATAACCCTTTTGTGACTTTTTATGTGATTTGTTGTCTAAATCATCGATAAAATCTCTGACTTGTAATGAGTTTTGTCCACTTTTTCCACCAAAATGAGCGCCAATACTATGAAATAAATTATATTATTAAAAATGAATTGAATTATTAAATATTAATTAAAAGCATACTTTGATATAACATTATCAGCGGTTTCTTTCAAATTATTTTTATGTGAAACAGTGGTTAGGATTCCCAAAGCAAAACCAGAAATAGATTTGACGTCTAATTCATTGTTTTGATTAATCCATACATTTTCCTGTCCTCTCAGCCCTTCAACCAAAACAAATGCTTTATCTGATTTGGATTTCTTGTCGACAATTGGCTGAACAACTAATGTAATAAAAATTATTATTATTATAATAACTTAATTAAATTATTTAATTAACAAATAATGCATACATTTATCATAAAATGGTTTTTGAATTGAAGTCATTTCTTGTTTTCTCAATTCGTCTTCAGTTGCATTCAATGCATTTGAGTGATGTTTACCCGAAATATCGGCCAAAACACCGGCACCCAAACCATACTGTGTCGATACGGCAACACTGCGCCGACCTCTGGCCACTATTACAGACGTACCTCCAATACTACCGATACCTTCAGCGACAAGAATACCGTGTTTTTTGTTGATCTCATCATTGTTTGGTGTCTCTAATGTCTTGGATTTATCGAGAAATGAATTCAATTGGTTTTGTCCACCAAATGAACCATGAATTCTGTAAAATAATAAATAAATTTATTAATTAATCATTAAAAAAAATATATAATTTTAAATTACTTTGAAATAACACTTTTTGCGGTCTCTTCTAAATCATTGCCTGAAGTCAGTGCTAATGCAGAGACCAATAATAGACATACAATTGATTTCATTTTTATTGTTTTTAATAAAAATAAATAAATACTTTATTTGTGATTTTTTATTAATTAATTTTTATGATGAATTTAAATTGACATTTCAAATCTTTATATACTATTTTTTTAGTAAACTTAACTCGCTTTTCATTAAGTATTTTTTTTAAATTGCATAATTTATTGAAACATTGATTATTGAATCTTTATTTGATTAGATTAATACTGTCAATAAAATATATATTGCAAATTATAAAATATAAAACAGAGTATATAAATTTTTATAAAAAATAATATGATAAATACCTATACTATATATTCAATTTATCAAATTTTGTTTCTTTATTATGATATCTTTTTATTTAGAGTTTTAATTATTTTTTGATTGCTATTTTCTTATCTTAAATTTGCAAACAACAAAACATTATTTTTAGTACAAGTTTTAAAAGTAAAATATATTGTATTAATGTCTATATTACAGTAATAATATTAGTAGAGTAACGAAATACAATAGCTTTTATTAATGTTTACTTTACAAATATTTTAGACATTTTAAATTATTTTTAATCTATTGATAAATCTATATAATACATTACAAAATAGTAAAATTTTTAAAGCTCTTAAATTTAGAAAATATTTTATATAAAATATATAAAATTATAGTTGTTAATAAATTTTATAAACTTTTTAATTAGTTTTACATTAAATATGAATTTATTATATTATTAATACCAGTAAAAGATTCATAGCTTTACAATTTTAAACAAAAGATGTTTTATACAAAACACACAAAAGTATACAAATTTTGTTTAAATTAATAAAAATTATAATTATAAGTATTCTGTCAAAAAAAATAAATGTTTATGACTTTATATAAAAATAAATACAAACAATAATAAACATTTTAATGTTGATAGAAATAATAGCAAAGATATAAATTAATTATTTTCAATCAATGATTATTCATTTTATTTTTATACAATTAATATAAAATAAGAAAATAAATTAATTAGTCACTCTAGTTATGAATCATATGTTTTTAAAACAAAAGTTTTAAACTTATCTTATATTACTTTATAGATTAATACTCTATGAAAGTTTGCAGCGACCTATATGTACGCAAAAGTAGAAAAACATTTTTATTTAATTACATAATATATATGAAATATTCAGGTACTCAAATTTATTAGATATCTATTTTAATAATATAAATATATATTACTGAAAAAAATTTACAATACTTTAGATATTATTATCAAGATTTTCAAAAAAAAACCATGAAATTTATTTTACAAATATATTGATTGTTACTATTGTAACATATTATAAAAAAAGTATATAAAGTAACTCAAATATATATTTTGTTATTATAATAAAATAAAAATAAAAAAATTTATTTAAATTTAAATTCAATATTAAACAATGTCTGTAATTTTTAATACATTTATTATATTAACAGTAATATCTGCTGTCATCACCACAACTGATCCACAGTTGGAAGCGTTGGCACAGAATTTCCTTCAATTGTAAGTAATATTTATATTAAAGTTATTGTATTTATTAATAAATTAATTATTATTTTAAAAGACTAAACCCGAGTGGAGTCGACAGCAAATCTCATGAATTTCTTCTTCAATTAACTAATGGTTTGTTTTTAAATTATTAATAATAAATGTTTTAATAATTAATAACATTTTTTACATAACAGGTCATCATTTGTCTGCTAATTCTTCGGACTCATTGAAAGTAATTCTTTCATTTGAAGGCACTCTCAAACTGAATGCCGAAAGAAATGGTCAAAAACTGGAACTTTCGTCTCAATATTTAGGCGGAGCCGCCGTTTATGTCGGACAGAGATATACGGCATTGAATGGACCGCTCGATAGCGACAACAAACCTGTGGATCCCTTCCTTAAAAATATTTACGATAAAAGTAATACCTATTATTTAATAATATTTTATATAATTTACTAATTACTGAATTGCAAACAGATCTCAACACACATAAACATTTAAGAGATGACGAAACAGGTGTATTGATAGCTCACGGTTCAGCTACCGGTGCTCAAGTAGTGGTTGACAAACATAAACTCGAGTCTGGAGTTGTCGCTGGTTTTGTTGTCGGCTCTAAAACTAAAGTCAATAATTAATTCATATTTATTTATATTTATTAAACTAAAATTGTACAAACTATAAATAAATAATAAATAAAAAATAATAATGTTTTTTTAATTATAATCATTTTCTTAATTATAATCATTTTATAATTATAATCATTTTGTAATTATAATCATTTTTTTAATTAAAATCAAATTTGTTTTTATTATCTATTATTATAAATATTTAATATATAATGATAAAACTTTATTAATTATATGATTATTAATAATTTATATTAAGATTTTTCATTACACTTAAATTATAATGTTTTTCTATGGAATTGCAATAATTTGTGATTATAAATTAACTTTTTACTTAACTAAAATTAACTTTAAATTAATTATTTTGTAATTGCAATAAAAAATTAACAGAAATTGACAAAAAATAATAATTACTATTCACTAATTTTTTTATATTAGAAATTTATACATTACATTATATGCTATAATAAATCTGAAAATTAAATTAGAAATATTCAATCATTTATTAGAAAATCAATATTTATTTATAAATATTTCTAATATTGATTCTCAATTAATAGTTGACTTTTATATTAAACTTTGAAGTTAACATTTATTTATGTTTAAATACTTTATCATATGTTTATATTTTTAAAAAATAACTTTAGAGAAAATTTGTAAAAATTCTTTAATAAATATATTCATTTTATTAATTGATTTTTTTTTTGTTTATTTTTATTATATTTTTAAGTTAATATTTAAAAATGTATAAATTAAATAATTAAATAAATCTTTTTATATCACTATATAAATAGTTATTTTTAACAAAATTACAAAACATTATTCATTTTTTTGTTGTTGATTGAAACATCTATGAGAGCACCCAATTGAAAGGTACCGTAAGTACCGGCAGTTAAGTATCCGTCACGAGTGGCCACCAATACTTCACCCTTTGCCTCACCGACTGCGCCAAACAATACACCCAGAGATTCATTTTGATCAGTTACTGGATTTATGTCTAAATTAAACAAATATTATATTATAAAAAAATAAATTATAAAAATTATAATATTTTTTTTATACATTTCTCAGATAGTGTTTGACTCATTTGTTTTGCTTTTAATTCCTTATCTTCATTATTAAGAGTATTGTTGTGTTCAGACTTATAACCGCTTAATCCAACAGCTCTTAATCCATACAGACTACTAATGTTAACATTATTATTGCCGTTATATACTTCTATTGATAGGACACCTACGGCTCCGACACCCACTCCATAATATCCAGAATTTTGAGATTTTTTATTAGAATTATTGTTAAAATTATGAATGAAATCATTAATTTTCAAATTGTTTTGCCCTTTCTTTCCTCCAAATTGACAGTCAATACTAATATTTTTAAAAATTAATTTTAGAAAATAAGTTTTTAATTAAATTATGAAAAAATAATGAATTAATACTTTTCAAGTGTATAATTAGCAATTTCTTTCAGATCAGTGTTTTGTTGTGAAACAGTGGTAACGGTTCCCAAAATAAAACCAGAAACGGATTTGACATTTATTTGGTTGTTATCATTAAACCAAACATTTTCCTTATCGTTCAGATTTTCAACCACAACAACAACTGTTTGGTTTGATTTGGAATTTTTATCAACAATTGGCTGAACATCTGATATAATAAACAAATATTGTTAATAACTATTAGTAATTCACAAACATATATATATTATTAATACATATTTCATAAAATGATTTCTTCATTGAAATCAGTTCTTGTTTAAGCAATTCCTCTTCAGTATTATTTAAAGCATTTGAATTATTTTTATCGGAAATACCGGCCAAAACAGCGGCACCTAATCCATACCGAGTCGATACAGTAAAACTTTGTCGACCTCTGGCCACTGTTACAGACGTACCGCCAATACTACCGATACCTTCGGCTACAAGAATACCATCTTTTTTGTTGATATCGTCAGTGTTTGTTGTCTTCAAATTCTTGGATTTATCGAGAAATGCATTTAATTGGTTTTGTCCACCAAATGAGCCATGAATTCTATAAAATAATTAATAAAATAATAAAATAATTTTTAAAATAATAAATTATATAAATTATTATTACTTTGAAATAACACTTTTTGCTGTCTCTTCTAAATCATTGCCTGATATCAGAGCTAATGCAGAGACCAGTAATAGACATATAATTGATTTCATATTTAATTATTAAACGTGTTTACTATTAAAAATAATAATTTTCTTTATAATTGTTATATATTTTTGTTGTTGTTATAATACAATTACTTTCAAAGTTTTTATATACTTTTTTTAACTATTAATTTTCTTTATTAGATCTAAATATTGCAAAATATCTTTGTAATAAAATTATATTTATATCTTAATCATTCATGATTTATCATTATGGAAATTACAAATATCAAGTAATCTATTATTAAATTTAGAACATATTTTATTACATTATGAGCATAATAATAATAATAACAATAACAATACGTACATGTATAACTTTATTACATTTATAAATGTTATATCAATAACATGATAAAAATATAAATATTTATAAATATCTATTGTTATGATTGTATTTATGAATCAGATGTTAACAACAATTTTATCAAATTATCATATCTTTACTATAATAAAGTTCGCACTAACCTTAATGTACTGCTTATAAACAAACAAAAAAAACATATAATAAACTATATATTGATAATAAAATGATTTAACTAACTATATTAAACAGATTGCAATCATATTTCAATTACATAAGTTAATGAAATATAACTAATGCATTAAAGTTACAAACAATAATTGTTGTTACGTACATATAATAAATAGCAAATATCATGCTTATATGGTATCTATAATATTTGATATACCTTTACTATCGATTGATTTATTACTCACAATAAAATTGATTTTTTTTTTAATTTTCAACTAATCATTGAAAAAATTGCAAAATTAATTTGAAATATATTTATATGACAATTGTTGTCAATTAATGTAACAATTTTTAAAATTATTATATATATATATATATATAAAGCTAGAAAAGTATTTTAATAATAAAACTTATATAAATTTAGATTTCTTTTATAATAAAATACTAGAAAATAACTTTATTGATCAAACAATGTCTTTACTTTTTCATATACTTATTGTATTGTCAGTAATGACGGTAACAGTCTTTACCACAACTGATCCACAATTGGAAGCGTTGTCACAGAATTTGCTTCAATTGTAAGTTATATTTATTTCTAAATAGTTTTAATTAAATATTTATTTATATATCGAAAGATTAAACCCGATTGGAGTCGACAGCAAATCACATAAATTTCTTCTTCAATTAACTAATGGTTTGTTTCAATTAATTAAATAATTTTTTATCATTTCATTAGTTAATATCATTGATTTGTATCAAAACAGGTCATCAGTTATCCGCCAATTCTTCGGACTCATTGAAAGTCATTCTTTCATTTGAAGGCACTCTTAAACTGAATGCCGAAAGAAATGGTCAAAAACTGGTGCTTTCGTCACAACATTTAGGCGGAGCTGTTGTTTATAGCGGACAGAAGTATAAGACATTGAATGGACCGCTCGATAGAGACAACAAACCTGTCGATCCATTTCTTAAAAATATTTACGATAAAAGTAATTATTTTAACAATTTTTAAATATTATTTAATAATTATTTAATTGCTAACAGATATCAACACAAATAAACATTTAAGTGATGACGAAACAGGTATATTGATAGCTCACGGCTCAACTACCGGTGCCAAAGTATTGGTCGATAAAATCGGAAAAGTCGACTCCGGAGTTGTCAGTGGTTTTGTTGTCGGCGCTAAAACCAAAATTACTAATTAATTTTGTTTTTCAAAGAATCATAACTTGATATTTAAATCATTTTAAAAAATATTATTTTTAGTTATTTATTTACATTATCAATAAATACTGTATAATATATTTATAAAATAAAATTTTATAATATTGTTTAACACAATTTAAAAGTAATTTTGACTGAATTTTTTTTAACAATAATGTTTTTAAAATGTTTCTAATAAATTAACAATTATTTATTATTCATAAATTTTATATTTAAGTGTTTATATTTAGTTTTTAATTGTTTGTTTATTATTATACTTATATATATATATATATATATATTGCTTATTCATGTACTTTCATTAATATAAAAATTATATTTAAAAATTTATATAAAGTTTAAATAATAATTAACTGAATTTCTAAAAATATATTTCAAAAGTTTACATAAAACTACTTTATGTATGATTTATTGTCATATATTTTCTAAGCTTTATTTTTTATATATGTTTATCTACAGTAGTCAATGCTTTTTATATCATCATAATAACACTTCTTTGTTGTTATTTTTGCCAAATATTTTTTTGTGTATAAATGGTAAAAATATTTTACATTATAATCACAATCATTAATAAAAATATATGATTTTTTAAATAATAAATTTGTTTTGTTTTTTTATTTATCAAACTAACTAATGATTTCATTACACATTTAGTTTTACAAAAAAAACTATTTATATTACTTTACTCGACAAATCATTACATTATATTGTGTATATAATTTACTTTTCATAAAAAGCACTGTTAGTTTATCAGTAAAACAGATAAAACTTGTGAATCACTTTCAAATAAATAAATAATACAAATAAAAAAGTTTTGGTTTTTTATAGACGCCTAAAGTGGTTATAACGTTACAATCAATCAATATATTATATATATATATATAATATTGTGTTTATATATATATATAAAAGCACAATATTACAGTTTATAGGAATCAGAATATTCTGTATATTTGATAACAAAAAAAAGTTTACACTTATACAGTACTACTGTATATACAGTATATAATAAATACTTTTGCACCCCCCCCCCCCCCCCCCCCCCCCCCCCCCCCCCCCCCCCCCCCCCCCCCCCCCCCCCCCCCCCCCCCCCCCCCCCCCCCCCCCCCCCCCCCCCCCCCCCCCCCCCCCCCCCCCCCCCCCCCCCCCCCCCCCCCCCCCCCCCCCCCCCCCCCCCCCCCCCCCCCCCCCCCCCCCCCCTTATATAGTGACAGCTTAGTTAGTCAATGGTCTGCGCATATCATCTCTCTTTCTCTTTCTCTCTCTCTCTCTCTCTCTCTCTCTCTCTCTCTCTCTCTCTCTCTCTCTCTCTCTCTTTATCGCAATCGTATGACTACATGAAGACCATCAGCGCTGGGCTTTCGTGTTATCAGTTGAAAAGAAATAGCTTTTCATATTATATCTATAGTAATGTTTCGTTTGTGTTTTAATTTCACATTTTATGACTTAATAAATTCAATTCAATTAAATAAAATTGAGTAAAATTAATATTATTAATAACTTAAATGTTGAATAATTATTTATAATTATAAAACGATTAACAAAAATTATTTTTGTTGTTTCGTTACTGTAATGAAACATCTCTTTATATTTTTTAATTTGTAATATTGAAAATAAATTAAATAGTTTAAAAGATTATTTAAAGTTAAAAAATATATATTATTGATGTGTAATTACTAAATGATTGATTAGAGACTTATAAACATTATTACAAACAGTTTTGACAAAATTAATATTATTTGTTATTTTTAATTGAAAATATTATATTTATGTTTTGTGATTTTAAAAAATAATTGTTTTGTTTGAATTATATGCCAAATTTTTTTCCTTAACATAAATGAAAATAAGTATAAAATAAATTGTATGTAACTGTCAATCAAAATATTTAAAAATATATTAGTAAAAAAGTTATTTATTTTTTATAAAATAATAACAATTTAGTTAATAATAATATTTATTTAATATCTCCAGTAAAGTATACTTTGCATAATAAAATTAAAAATGGTTAAAAGCAAAAAGATTAATTATATTTAATTAATATTAAAAAGTTTTATTGATAAACAATGGATCCGTTGGTAATGCAAGACAAATATCTTTTCAATATATCGTCAAACTCTACAAACATAACACACCAAACATTGCCAACATTGGAGGCACTGTCCGATCCGTACCAATCTATACTATCGGTTATCTATATTATTACTGCTGTCACAGCATTTATAGCCAATATAATTGCATTGATTATGCTATTAGGTCGGAGCCGAAAATCACAGCAATTAAAAAAATATTTATCAAACTTAGCGATTGCCGACCTATTTGTGGCCCTGTTTTCCATACCGTTTACATACGTTGACCTAATGTATGGTCAGTGGATATTCCCGTTGTGTTTGTGTCCATTTGTGCACTTTATTCAGATCATTGCCTGCACTGTATCTATATATACACTCATTGCCATTGGTATCGGCAGGTAATCATTCATTTTTTATTAAATATTATTATTTTTGTATTTTATACACTATTTTGTTTTTTTAATTAATATATTTTATAATTAATATGCAATATTTATAATTAAACATTTTTAGAGCCAATAACTGTAAGTTATAAATAATAAATAATAATATTATTTAGAAATCTTCCATTTAAATGGTTTTTATTGATTTAATGGTCAACTTATCAATATTATATTTTTAGAAAAAACTGAGAAAAATGTTATATATTATTTATTTTCTATTTTATCTGTTTTAACACATCTTTTATTTATATTTTTTGTAAAATAATCAATTTGATACATATAAATATAGATAAAAAATAGATATTTCATTGACTCATACACTCACTCATATAATACTACATAAATATCTTATTAAAAAAAAAATATTAAGTACTCTATTTATTTTATAGGATTTTTATTATTGTTGCAATTAACTAAAACCCAATGTAAACATGTTTACTAATGAAACTATAAATCATAGTATAATTTTCACTTAAATAAATATTGATTTTTAACAAAAATAAAACCTAAGTTTGTGTAAATTAACCAAAACTTTTCTTTTAGTATTTAACTAAAGTTATAAAAAAAATTCTAAAAATATTTATCTAATGTGTTAAAATTTTTATTATTTTTAATAATCAATCAAAGTAGCAATAAATACGACCTAAATAATTTAATTATTTTAGTTTGTAACACACAATTATTACTACTGTGTATATTAATATGCACACTTAGTTTCTAAATTAATTTACATTTATAAATACTTATTTGAATAATAATTATCATGCAATAAATTTTATTAAATAATACTATTATAATAAAGACTAATTAGTTAATTATTTTAATTGCATATTAATTTATAAAATTTTAAAGTTTTTTAAGTATCTAATTAATTTAATTACATTACTCAAAAATCTTATAAATATTCAACAACACAGATAACATATAATTTTTTAGGTTTTTATTTAATATGTTATCTATTGATTAAAAAATATTATTTGAACATATTTACTAAATAACAACATCAATAAAATAAAAATATATACAACTTATATAACAATATTATACACATAACTCCTACACAAAATCATAAAAAATTTATATTAGTAGTATATACCATACTTGACACGCGATTTAATCGCTAATCGCTAATCCCCTACTAATCCTCTTATCGCTAATCCGATTACTACGTGCGTAAAAGTTATGAATGAAATAGTAATACTACATGTAGTAGTAGTACTATTGACCATTCATAAATTATGTAAGTGTGTAAAAAGTGATATTATGCAATGTCACGTGACATATTGCATCACAAGAAATTAAAATGTTTTTTTAATTGTGCGTCTATTTTTTATTAATTAATTATTTTTTATTTTATTAAATATAAATAAAGTTAAATACATATAAATAAAAGTTAATTACAATTAAGTTTAATATAATTATTAAAATAATTTAAAAATATAGTTAATAAATTATTAGTGTTATTGATAGAATTAACACCAGTTAATATTAATTTTCCATTTTGTGTTAATGTTATTTTTCCACTACTGTTATAATTAATTCGCATGTGTGGAAATAACTCTAAATCAAAATTAACTAATATATTACAATTAATTAAATACTCATAAAAATTAGTAAGACTAATATCATTATTTAAAATATAAAATGATGCAATGTTTGTAGTGACAATGTTTTGAGGTTTAATAGTATATCCAAGTCTTTGTATCATACGAGCTGTCTTTCTTAAAGCCATCCTTCCGTCTGATTGAGACGCCAATAGTGCCAATACATACAAGTTTTCCGGTGTCGTGAATCATAACTGTTGCTTTAGGATTTCGTAATTTCATAACAACACGAATAAAATATTTGTTTTGATAAATACAATTATTTAATTTATTAGTTATTAATTTTAAGTCTAAATATATAGGGTAAACGCTTAGATCACATGTCATAGAAACATTTGTTATTTTAGCCATTATTTAGTATTTTGAAATTTATTAAAACGTTTCTTAAACGTTTTATTAATCTCTTTCTTAGCTGAAGGTTTATTATTAGATGGTATGGTTATAGTTGGTTGTTCATCTATTTCCATAGGTTCTTCTGTTGAAAGAGATTGAGTGACTGATGATTCGACTGAAGGTGTAGTATTTGGTATGTTTTTTGGTTGTTGTCCAAAGTCGATGAGTGTTGACAATATTTTGTTTTTCCACTGGTGCAATAGTTGAACTTTACTGAAGTTAAAGACAAATAAATTATCTTTAGTTGGTGTTTGTTGGTAAACACAAATCAAGTCATAAACTATTTGGTAATACAGCTTTGAGTCGTACTCTATCGATTTTTCTACCACACGATTGTAAGCCTCCGTCATCTTATGAAATGCTCTGTTACCCCGAAGTCTGTATCCAGTATAAACGTCATCAATTGTCTCCAAATCGTCTGTTATGTTGCCGGTAGTATTGACAACAAACTGATTCACCGGTGTCAGGTTGTTGTACAAAATTTGTGGTCCAATGTTCCCAATAATGGCATAAGGAAATTCATTACTAGCAGTGACTAACCACGTGTTCCATGTGTATGTTAAATGTACACAATCATACATAAATCCGTATCCATGGCCACATTCCATGTCGTCATCTCTTTTACATACAAACCTAATAGAATAAAATGTAGTAAAATAAAAATAAATATAAACAATTATGTAATAAATACCTCAATGCATGTACAAATTCGTGCAGAAAAGTGCTGACAAATCCGACAAAGTTGTCCATTTTGTCTAACAAAGAGGGGTGTATGACGATGACAAACTTTTCGCTAGTGATGTATGTCGTTTCCCCCCAAACTCCTCAAACCAAGAAATCCTGTCCAGTTGTTCCAATCGGGTAGTAATATATGTCCTTTACTCATAATAGACACACCAATTTTTTCTATAAAAAATCATCAAAAGCTTTGGTCCAATTACTAATCTATAGTTTTAAAATAAACAAAAGAAAAACTTAATATAAAAATAATAATAAAATATGTAAATATACTTACTTTAAGCCATTGCTCCATAACCCAATCAATTCCATACATTGAACTGTGAGCCAAATCGAAACGACTTTGCCATTGTATAACATAGGCATCCAAACAACTACCAGCACAATCAAGTCTACGAAAGTCGTTGATGTTTAGATCCAAATGTGAAGACATTGTGGTGAAATAATATTGAACAGCGAGACTTTCCAAACAAATGAAAAATAATAACAAAAATTTAAACTATTTATACTATAAAAGTTGTTTACTTGTCTAACAATACAGTATAAACAGTGTATCTCTACATTAAATAATCCCTTAACACTACTAATACTATACCTGAAAAATACTTCAACAATGCAGTAGATAATCCCTTAACACTACTAATACTATACCTGAAAAATATTTCAACTATACAGAAGTTAATCCCTACGCACATACACACACACAAACACACAAACACACAAACACACAAACACACACACACAAACACACACACACAAACACACACAAACACACACAAACACACACAAACACACACACACACAAACACACACACACACACAAACACACACACACACAAACACACACACACACACAAACACACACACACACAAACAAACATCAGGCACGAAGTGCCAGATGTAATAAAAATGACAAGGGTTTAGGGAATGCAATGCACATAGTGCTCC